GAAACATTCATGTGACAATTCAGTAGGTTATTACTTGAGAACAGGCCACGCACCCCTTGTACTTGCATCTGTATGTAATTGGGATAGTTCAAGTTATAACTGTTAGCAATCTTTTTGGATTAAAGCCAGGTCCTAGATGCACTAGTAGTAGCCTCGTTAAGTGATGGGCGATGGCAACTCCCCAAGGAACCAAGTTCTACATCTGTGGTAACTCCACTGACTTTAATGCAGCATATTTGAAATTTTCAAAGCCACACATGAAATAAAAATAAGGTGCGGGTCTTGTAAAATAAGGATTAAATAATGCAAAGATATAAAAACAATCATGGATTAATACTCTTCCTATTTATATGATGGTATGAAGCTGGGTAATGTAGCTCAATATACACATACATCCATTTCCCAAGGAATAATGTACATTATAGCACTGTTTTCCCTGTCAGCAGCCTTACTGGCATGGTTCGAGATACTTAGCTACTCCCTTTGCATTAGCAATCCAAGATGTACAACGCTGTATGACTTTCATGACCGGGAGCAAAAGGCACGTTGAATGCAACAGATTAGGTATTTAACCGGTCATCTTCACTCCTTATACATGTATCCTTCCAATGTGAAGGTCAGCTTCAAGCACAATGACTTCTTTTCTCCCTGATCAATTTTCAGTTGACTGAACACAATTCATCCCCTGACTTCTACTCTGCATATTATCCCAAAAGATAAATCCCACATTTATCCCAAAAGTCTTTAGCCCTGGGTAATGCTGCTGTATCACCCATACACAAACCCCTTCCTCATTTACCTTTAAGTCTGGAATATGGAATTTGCTGTTGCTGGACAGGTTGGATTTCGATGTCACCGTGTTCATTCTCTCCCATGCCTGTAGATTTGTTTTATCTCCCGGGGCAGAAATTAGCCAGAACTCAGACATGATCTAATATTTTCCCTTCACTCCTGGTCACTGTAGAAACACAGAGCAGGTAAGTGGCTAGAAGAGCACCGCACAAAACAGGCTCTTCCCTAAGAACAGAAAAAGTTAGAACAGATTAATAATGTTTTTCAGAAACACAAGGACAGTGAGTCAGTCCTGTGTCTCAGGCTGAAATGGAACATGACCTTCTCCAGAATGTCACGGAAAGAACACGGCCGTTCCTCCTTTTCAGGGTTGTTCCATCCAGTTTCTGAATGAAGAAACGAAGCTTCCTCCTCCCCTTTTCCCTCCCAGCCTGTTCCATTCGCCTTGCACTGTAAATGCAGTCTCCATTAAGGAGTCTGAGGACTTCACTGAATCATCCAAATGTAATTCAGGATTTCTGCTTGAAAAATATAATCTCTCAAATTTTTGGATGCTTGTAGGCAAAGTGGAAAACGATGTAAAAAACCCTCTGCTTAGCCTATAGGCTACAAAAGATGCCTCCGGTGAGACGGAATATTACTTTCCCGTGTTTTTCTTCACAGGTCGGGTAGGAAGCAGCTGGAGGAAGACAAGCTGCAGCACAGAGATGATACCAGCAGAACACCACAGATGCACGGGAGACAACCATCAAACAGATCAGGGCAGGACAGTGAGAAGGAGAAACCAGACAGAAATCTCTCATTCCCCTCCGAGAGCTCTGCCTGCACCCCCCCACCCCTCCACTGCTGCCTGCCTTGACTGCTTTGCCTGTCTTGTCTGCCTGTCCTGCCCGCAGCCTGCCCTACCTGCTCGCTGCGTGCCCTGCCCGCTGCTTATCCTTACATCCCCGCTGCCTGTCCTGCCCACTGCCTGCCCTGCCCGCAGCCTGCCCTACCTGCTCGCTGCGTGCCCTGCCCGCTGCTTATCCTTACATCCCCGCTGCCTGTCCTGCCCACTGCCTGCCCTGCCCGCAGCCTGCCCTACCTGCTCGCTGCGTGCCCTGCCCGCTGCTTATCCTTACATCCCCGCTGCCTGTCCTGCCCACTGCCTGCCCTGCCCGCAGCCTGCCCTACCTGCTCGCTGCGTGCCCTGCCCGCTGCTTATCCTTACATCCCCGCTGCCTGTCCTGCCCGCTCGCTGCCTGTCCCTCCGGAGGCGGCCCGGGCGGGGCGAGGGGAGGGCAGCCGCTGCGCCCACGCCGAAGCGACGCGGGTGGGTGCGAGGGGTAGAGAGGGTCCCTCGGGGAGCAGGCAGGGTTGTTGCGCTGGGCGAGACAACCCCTGAGAAGCCGGGAACAGCTCCAACTCCTGCATCTTTTCATCTTTACGCTTAAACTCGCAAAAATGATGCAGAGGCCATGTCTTTTTGTCTTTTGCCTTTAGCAAGCCTGAAGGTTCTGGAATAATTAAAGAAACTTTTAGGAAACTCTTGTTTCTGTGACTTCCCTGGGTGCTTTATTTAACAAATACTCAAGCGGTGCAGGAGCCTGCAAGGCAGTGATGCTTCCTCCCCTGGTGATGCTTCTCCCTTGGTAGAATATAGCCGTGGCTTTTAGTCCTTACTAAGTCTTGAGTTTGTCTTGCATTGCCTTAAGCTTCCTTAAGATACTGGGAGGGTTTCGTAGCTCGTACAGAGTAATGTTCTGCAGACCCTTCTAACCCAGACATGCTCTGAGACAGCCATGTGACCTCAAAGCTGCCTAATTCCCTCATGATCATCACGTGTCTTTCTGCTCCCTTTGATCCATCGATGCAATGAACCGTTCTGTGACATTGCCTCTCCCCGTGTTCATGAGTGCTTCAGATGTCACACCAAGGAGCAAAACTCCACCTCCAAGCAGTCATTAAGAACACTGAAACGTCCTACTTGAAGTATCTCCCAAGGCAAATTTCTCTTAACAGATAACTAAAATTAATTACCTAGGCAATTATGACATTGATACTAATGGGAATGCTTATGTTTTAAGCTTGCAAAACAGCAACCACAGAGCTGTAGTTCTCTATAAAACAATTTATACATCTATTACTTGCACTATCTGTTTCATCTTCTAGTAATGTGTGGAGGGTTTTTTTTCCCCTCTGCTTAAAAAGAGTCTTTAAAAATCCTATTTTCCAGTCCCGTGAGTGTTTTGTTATTATTGTAGCAGTGTATTTAAAATTACAGTCTAAAATATTTCAATGAAGGAACTCTTAAATAGCTTGATAATGGGTAAGAAAATACTATTTAAATGATAACATTTTTGTGTGTACTTTTAAGAGTAGCGTGCAAACTACTTCTTTATCATAATTCCTTAGCTGTGTATCTATTTCTTAATTATGTTAAAGAATATTGGTTACTCACTCTCTCCGTACCGTGAAGTGCAGCAGAACCTTCCTGATGAATTGCATCTATTTATTTTTGTACGCTGAATGTGAAATGTTGTTTCAGTGTGAATATACCTGAAAACGTGTATGTAACATAATTATACGTATGTACGTACTGAAGGGGCACTAGTTATCCTTAAAATCGGCAAAGGTAACATTCAGTTTGCTTATAACCACATTGTTTCAGAACACAGCACCACCATGTCCCTCAGCAGGTCATGCACACAGTGTTAAAGAAAAAGGAAGCAAAATGATTTGCTCTCGGTTGAAAGCATCCTATATCACACCTATTTGCAGTCAGAACATTTACCTGCTCATCTATATTAATTTGAATGGTAAATCTAAAAGATTCATTACACACAGGAAGCAAAGTGCTTTGTCAAAGCTTTCCCTGCATCATCCAGATCCTGATTTTTTTAACTCTAGAGTAAGTGCAACAGGCAGATTTGGCTGATCTTAAGTTATCTGGACTGAAATTTTAGTAGTCCACATTCTAGTTGATCTTTTCCCCTTCGATTTTCTAAGAAGTCTTAAATGTATGACTGGCCAAGCTCAGATTTAGTGACTTTGCCTGAAAACCGAATTTGACTGAAAAGAACAAAAAACGTAATTCCAAGCCACTTGAAATAAACTGTTTCCTGCTGTGCAGTTAGAATCTCTGAGTTCTACCCCTCTTCTTTTGCACCGTGGTCAGTTAAATGCATCCGGAGAACGTACAAGAAGGCCAGGAATCCCTGGGTAGTGTCACCAAAAGAAAGTCACACAATTCTCCAGTCTGTAAGAAGGGTATTAAGTCACTTAATTCATGCCTGTAACATCTCCAGTGTTTTACTCCTCTAGGAATTTTTTGTGGGTTCGGTCCTCCTGACCCCGCCTAATGCCTTTTGACGTGCCCTGGAGCATCCTGTTGGGCCTTCAGCTGCTCTTCCAGGATGGCACTGGTCTTCAGTACATCTTGTGTCACACCAGCCAACCCCCTGTGGATGTCTGGGATTACTTAGGGCGTCCCGAATGGCACAAGGCCCCTATGTGTGGACAAGTGAATTCAGCTTTAAGTGTCTATTAATAGCCAGCGGCAGTCTAAGTAATTAGGCAGCGGAACCTAGAAATGATTGAGGTCACCCCAAAGAAGACACCTGGTGGCTACTGCGCTACATTGCTCCTCAGGCTTCATCAACTGCATTTCTTAGGGATGAGGTTCAGCTGCCTGAGCTTCTAGTGCCACTTGAGACGTCCTTGCATGTCCTGCCTGGCCTCCAGCTCATGCTGCAGAAGGGCACGGGTTTTCCATAGGTCTTGTGTCAGCCCCATCTTGGTGTCCTGGATACCATAGGGCATCTCAAATGCCACTAGACAACCTACATTTAAGCAAGTGAAGCCTTAGCTCTCTGAAATGGGAGCTTAGACACCTAGCACCCACATAGACACCTACATTTGGGGGTGTTAATCTCCCATGGACCTCAGCCATAATGCCCTCTAATGAACTGGAATAGAGTCCTTTCTAGTCATGATGTTGGTATCATTGTTGCCGAAACACACCATCCAGGGAATACCATACATAAGACTTATGTGAAACAGCTTCAGTTTGTATCTTGTACTGGACTTACACATTGGTGTGGGAAGTATTTGGGGTTGGTTTTCTTTGTTCCGCGAGGGTGTGTATAGATCAGATAGACAGTATTTTGATCCCAACTAAGGTAGCAATAGTCTGACTTTTTTGCACATCCGTACTTGTTTAAACGGCGATGCTGCAAAGCAATAAAAATGTGTCTTTTTACATTTGCTGTCAAGGTTCTGATCAACCCAGTCCTGGATTCATTGTGTTCCATAGACAATGGACGCGGGCTTGCCGTTGGGTGAGAAAATTAACCTCCTCCACCAAGTGTGGAAAAGCAACTCCTGCCTTCCTGGTGTAACCCCAAGGCCGCCCGGATCAGCACCGCAGCCTGCCGCATGGACAGACAGCCGTCTTTCCCCCAGGATGCTGCACATGGGGTCTCGTCGAGCACGCTGGAGAGCCGCCCCTGATGCCCCCCGCGTCTCCACACACTTCCACGCCGTGCGGCCTCCGGCACAGCTGCTTGCTGAACGCCAGAAACAAACGCGGGGGAAACGATGGACAGAGAGGTTGTGTGGCTAGGAGCGGCGGCAAAGCCTGATTCCTCATGGATCATAGAATCATAGAATCGTCTAGGTTGGAAAAGGCCTTTAAGATCATCAAGTCCAACTGTTAACCGAACCCTGCCATCCCACCACTAAACCCTGTCCCTAAGCACCTCATCTACCCATCTTTTAAATACCTCCAGGGATGGGGACTCGACCACCTCCCTGGGCAGCCCATTCCAGAGCCTGACAACCCTTTCT